GCTCATTGTGCTCTTTTATGTTTGTTAAAGGTCTGGCATATAATTAACGTAATTTTTGATCAAAGATCCACGGAATTTAAAACTTTGTTTATAGCTTTAGTTGATGTTGATTCAAGCTGGATCGGTCTCACACAGTTTAATCGTCACACCAAAACAGTACAAATTAACGTAAACTATAAAAAATGTGTATGTATAGAACAATTTATTTTAGTTCTTTTACACGAATTTACGCATATGTTATTAGGCCCCTCAGAAAGGGACCATGATTTGACCTTTTATTCAACTTTTGCTGCTCTTTTGACTATTTTTTTACACCAACAAGACATACATTTTTTGAACAAAAACAAATTCTTTACAAATAGCAGCCGTGACAAAATGACTGTGTGGTGACTTTTCTATAAAAAAAAAACAACACTTTTTGCGCCTGACGCTATAAAAAAAAATGCATATGTTAAATTTAAATTTTACCTTTTTAATGTGCTACTTTAGACTGTCGCCTGTCAAATTTACACAAGGAAATAGACTTGAAAATAATGTTATTTGTAGTGGACGAGGGATGATCAAAAATTACGGAATATTAAAAATAAAACAATAATTACATATATTATTAAACTTACACTGTGCCGGGTGTGCGTTACCATGTTTTAAATATAGACAAAACTATTCGTGCTATAACATTTGTTTACAGGTATTGATTTTTGATTTAAAATTATTTAATTGACAGTCCGTTTAAGTTTTTGTATTAGGCCGTACCAATTTTTTTTTTGTGCGGTCCTATCAATTTTACATACAAATTTTTAATGATAAACGTACTGAATAAGAACTTACTTATAAATATAACGTTTACTTCGTCATTTTCTTGTTTTTATCCTTTTCTTTGAATATATTATATATTTTTTAATTTGATTGTATTGTATTATGTATATTATGTAAATATTCGGGAAATAAATATGTTTAAACTTAATGTATAATAAATAAACATTGTATAAACGAACTGCTTGTTTGTAAAGAAAACAAATATCGATTATTCTGTTTATAATAAAATAAAAAAATACTTTTTGCGTCTATTTTTCGAAACTCCACAAAGGGACACTGAACCTAGACCCGCTACTGTTATAAAAATTATGTCATCTTAAATTATATTAAACTTGTCCCAATGTAGTGTGACCTATTTCTAAACGATACTAAATGTCATTATACAAAGACAGTAAACATATTTAACACGCCATTAAATGTCATCTTAAATGATATTAAACTCGTCCCAATGTAGTGTGACCTATTTTTAAACGATACTTAATGTTATTTTACAAAGACAGTAATCGATATTAAACTCATTAAACTTATTAGTAAGCGTTATTTTTAGACTACATCTTCCTATAAAAGCCCTATTTATCAAGACCACGTAGCACAACTTACGGTGACAGTATGGTAACAAGAGACCACTAATTTATGAAAGAATAGAGTAACGGTAAGATTTCTTGCGCTACTATTTTATTTTTTATACCTACTTGAAAGCAAATATTTCTTAGATATTTTAGTTCGTAAGATCTCTCGCGCTATTTTGTACTTATATTTTCGCAAGGTATTGAAGGTCATTAATGACATAGAAATAAAAATAAGAGCGAACGAGTTACTTAGCTCATTTTTATTTTAGAATTCTAACAAGAAACATGGAAAACACCTTTGAAGCAGTATTTGAGACTTTGATAAATACTTTTACTGATGAAAGTCAGCTGATGAATTTTGCGGCAACGTGGGGGGCAATACATAGCAAATACACAATATAGGAAATTTTAACAATAACTCGCTTTGCATGCATTTAAAATCCTGATCAACCGGTACTTATAAAATAAACTTTAACATTGCTTTAAAATAAGGACGATGGAAAAAAAGCTTGATACCAGCTTTATTATTATTATAAATAATAAATTCAGTAAAAATGTTACAAATTATGAATAACCAAAACAATAGTTTTTTATTTCCAAATTGATATAAGGTTAAACATATCAAAATAGAACCAATGAAATTGATTAAACATGACGTCTTTTCTAAAAATAGGAAAGGCTTTGTGGAAAGTATATAACAACGCATTTACCTTATTTTGATCATTCTGATTTTTAAAGTTTAACGAGAAACATTGTTTTTTTTTTCAGCCTTTAAATTTTTTTAAATATCAGTATGGATTTAGATGATTTCGGGGATGAGTATACCTCAGAAGATTTGTTAGCAATTGATCAAATAGAAAAAGCGATTGTTACAGTAAGCTCAAAAACAACGGAGGGACATAATACTCGGTTACAACTGCAAAGTTATTTTTTAAAGAACGCGGTACCTAGTTCATTGTCAATGTTGGCAATAAGTATGGGTGTTCCTTTCCGGGTGTATGACTGTATAGAGGTCGATTTTCAACGCAAGTGTTTACATAGAATGAATGAACTGTTTAATGTATGGTATCCACGCGCAAAAGAAATAGGACAGAAGAATGGATTATTACCTGTACATATACTGGTTCATGTAAAGTATACACACCCCCATTTTTTATATTCAATGCCTGTATCCGATAAAAATATGAAAGAATTCGTTCACGAAAATGGACAACAAATTTCTAAAGTTATTGATCATATTCACGGTGTGTTGGAGAAAAGAAGCTCTATCTTGAGAGAGAACAGTTTAAACTGAAAACGACATACATAAAAGTAAAATGTATATAACTTTGTAATTATATATGTTACCATATAGAAAATAAACATATTTGACTTGAAGTAGTATTTGTCTTCTTTATATTTTAAGCGTATCAATCAATTACATTTACATGGTATCATTATACATAACAAGGCAATATTTTTCTTTACAACCTTTTATTGGGTACCTTTACATTCATTATACATGAAACTAAAATAAAATCGAATAAAATCGTCATTCAATTTCCTGCATTGCACATCAAATTGTGTTAAAAGGTCCTTTATGTTTCTATACATGATGTAATATACACAATTTTTGAATTTGAATCCTGTATTTGACTGCAATTCATCCAGTAAGGCTCTTTCCAACAATTCCTCAAAGTGAACAGTATACTGACTGGGTCGTTTACTCAATGAATTAAAAGACTTGTCTGGTCCACGACCTAATGTTTTCCAGATCCTTCACTCGTGTCTGTATTTGAAATCACAAATCTTCCTTTTTGTTTATGAATTTCAACAGCCGCACACACTGTCACTAGATATCTTTTCTAGCTGGTAATTATCCATTTTAGAAAGTGAACCGAGTCCAGTCAATATCCGTTTTACGCTTCTTAGGCGCCGACTTTTCTATATTGGAATCACGAAATCGTTTTACTTCCGACTTTGCCATTTCAACCGCTTGTGTCACGGGGCTAACCATATTGACCACAGGGCGTTGTGCATTTTGAAGCTTCTCTTCCGTTTCTTTAAGCTTTTTCTCCGTTTCTTTGAGCTTCGTTTCTAGTGTCACGAGCCTTCTACGCGAATTACCGCTACCGATAATGTAACGACCTCTATGATCGGGTGTCACGTAACCGTCTCTCACATCTTTAAAATGCTGATACCATTTCTCTGGGTCATCTATATACGGCACCCATTTTTGTTGTTTATGATCGTACACCTCTACGGAACCCATGTTGTGTTTTGAAAGTAAAGGAGCAAAGATCATTCTTACGGTATTTTTATTCTTCATCTGATATGTGATCTTCATCGTCATCATCTTTATTATTGTCACCATTACAATCAATGTTGTGATTGGGCCATAACGCCTCAAACAGGTCTTTTCTAAGTTTAACGGCTTGTCGGATAGATTCTTCAATGGTCATATCGTGCTGATGTCTAAGTTTCTTCGCTGACTGGAGAATTTGTTGCTGAGTGGGGTCCTCTTGTAATGCGTAAAAGTCAATCAAAAACTGGGCATAATTTTGTCTCATCTTCTTTCTCAAATGTGGCAACGCATCATTAGCAGTGCGAGCATAAGCCTCATCAAAAGAGTACTCTTGATCTATGTAACTGTTTAGCCCGTCTTTAAATTGTTCTTTACAAAACTGTCGTAAAGGCTTTTGAAATCTTCTATCCCATATGTTATGACGTTTGCGTTCTTCTTTGAGCTCTTCTTTTATACGCTTACCAGGAGGTCCCGTAAAGAAAGACTTTCTTTTCATTCCAATATTTTCGTCGTCTGACTCATTCACCTCCTCCTCCATAAAATCATCATCAACATTATCATTTAAAGTATTGTCAGACAAGTTTTCTTCTCCACTAAACTCATTTTCGGAATCATCCGCAGGCTGTCTTTTCCTACCTTGACTTTCAAAAATGTTTTCGCGCAAACGGTCATGTTCTGAAGTAGAGGATTTCAAGTCTACCACTAGATAACCGTGCGGTCTCGATGTCGCTCGTTCGAAGCGTTTCATAAAGATGTTATAGGAGGAAGGATATATTCTCCTCGCTAACGTAGCCACCTGCTGTCTGTCAATAGGGTTATTGAATAATACTAGGTACTGCGTATTCAACGCGATATCTCTGCAGGCTTTTCCTTGAGGAAATAAATTTTGAGTCAGATACACAATAGATATGTTCCTGTGGTGACTGCCTTTGGTAAAAAGATCGGCAATTCTCTGGTCACATTTGGCCTCTGTCATCAAATCGTCAAAAACGATCAAGTTCCTTTTACGCCCGTCAATATACTCTGGACTATTCAAGTAGTCGGGAATACCATGTACAAATTCTATCCCGGGTATTCTACGCTGAAGTTCTTCGTATAGAATCTGCCATTGACCGTAACACCAAATGATGCGCTCCGGTGGTGGACTTACTATATCGGATAAAAGCAGTGTTTTAGTCCATTCAGTTTTTCCACTACCACTAGGCCCGGAGACGACCATGGAAAATGGGTGTTGAAACGTCATCTTTTCTGACCCAGGGGTTATTTGTGGTGATGGATGGTTATCTCTTACAATTTTGTCAGTCTCGTGCAGGTTACGATGATGTCTCAACATGGCGTCGCGTCTTGAGAAAAGTTGTTGACAAATTGGACATTGATTCATAATTAAAAAAAGACACAAAAGTACACTGAAGTATTCGTTCTTATACTGGTAAGTCACCCTTCTTACGTTGGAGTGAAGTGTTGTTGTTGTTGTTGTTGTTGGTGGTTGTGGTGGTGGCGGTTGCGGTGGTGGAGGTAGTGGTGGTGTAGGAGGTTGTGGTGGTTGCGGTGGTGGTGGTGGTGGTGGCGGTGGTGGTGGTGGTGGAGGTGTTGGTGGTGGTGGAGGTGGTGGTGGAGGTGGCAGTGGTGAAGGTGTTGGTGGTGGTGGAGGTGGTGGTGGTGGTGGTGGTGGCGGAGCAGGAGATTAATAAAAGACAAATCCTGTTTCCAGTCATACATGTTTATTGATAAAATATACGCAGATAAACATATTCTTACAAAGAAACACAAAATATATGTTACAATACAGTAGTACACTATCAATGTTATGGTTATACAAACGAATGTCAACATTTTTTTCGTCTAATTTGATACAGTAGATGTCGTTGAACTTTAACCACCGAATCCTCCAAAACCGCAAGGTGTTGACCTAGTTGTTGATACAAACGCGCCAAATCCGCCTATTGGGGGCGGTTTGGTGAACAGATTTCTATGTTCCTTGTATTTATGTAGTTTGGGTGCTTTTCTTTCGTACCTTTTATATAATATGATTAAGAAAGGCTAACATCGTGTTAACATCATTTAAATTTTTAGTTATGGATATAAAATATTCATATTTGATTTTAATGTACTTTTAAAATAAGACTTAATACAGCACGCTTGTCACACGGTACAGCCTACGGGTATATAAAATGTGTCATTTATTAATTAAAGCTGATTTCAGCCGCGTTGTTTATGAATTAGCTCCGATACATATTTTTGAATTCAATATTACTTGGAATATGTATATAGAGATTGGCCAAATACCGACTTGATAAAAGATTAAATTTGTATATTAAAACTAAAACCTCCAAATGACTGTTGCGTTTGTGGGCTTATTCCGTTATATGTAAATGACGGTCATTTGCGTAAAACCGGGTAAAAGTATATTTCATGTCACATATACCATATAAATAATTTATCTCTAGGACATGTGCATCAATGGGATATTAAAACATAACTCAATAAAATAACCGCCGCACATGTACCGATATTCGCATTGTATGCAAATATATTACTATGTATGGAAACAAGATGGCCGCCGCACGTGTGCAGTCGTGCTGCCGCACGTGTGCAGTCGTGGCGTTCAAGTGCTGCCTTTGTGCACTTAGGATATTTTAGATGTGCAATGCCGTTTAATGAGTTTTTACAAAAATCATAAATGAATCAAGTGGCGTTCCAGGGGATCCACTTGATTTATATGGACTAACATAGGAAAACCACTTCTGAGACTTATTTTGTGTGAAACCATAATGTCCAGAGCTTAGATTATTTGCATGTAACATCACTTAGCGGACCACAATTGGTAATAATTATGTCCCTTGGGCCAATATTTCCCCCTCTTTAAGTCACTTAGTTAATACAGTTTGTAAAGGAAAACATATTTGTCGTATTTTATTAAACTAAAATGCCCAGAGCTTAGATATTCGATATGTTGCATTGCCTTGTTGACCTCTACAAATTATGCCCCTTAAGTCAATATAGGCCCCATCCCTTAGGTTCCCTTCCTTAGTTGATATAGGAAAAAAACATTTACAGTCCTTTTTTTGTGAAAATACAAATGTCTAGAGTTTTAAAATAATTTGTCACGTAGCATTGCCTTGTTGATCTCTACAAAATTGATATAAATCATGCCCCAGGAGACAATTTTGGCCCAACCCCGGGGGTCACATATTTGATTTCGACTTTTATATGAAAACATATTGGGTTTAATTGTGTATTTGGCATGTAGCAAAAAACTGATATTATTCTTTAGAAAGCTTTATACGTTGTAAACTCGATCCAGTGAAATACTGCATCTTTTATTTAAAATTGCTTTAAGCAATTGACATACAACAATGTGTATTCGATAATGACAACGTTTAAAATAAATATATAAAAAAACATAAACAATAAAAAGACTGCCCACTCTGTACTGTTCAAAAGGACGTTACCGATAAATTCCGGAGGCTCTTTTTCAATTTCATTGGTTTATGTGGATTATTTATCATTTTTGCGTATAAAAAATGAAATCAGATATCACTTTCCGTAAGCCCTATCTCAAAGACTATGTATAAAATGGTAACAATTGTATATGCATATTCGTGTTAAATATGCATAACATTTTCAGCAATTTGCATCCAGGTTGTCCTTATCGAACCGATCTTAATAATAAAGTAAAGACTCAGATTCTTTCGAATGTGACCGTGGTCCCATGTGTTTACACCGGACACACAAAGAACCAGGTTTGCTTCTAGAGCTGACTAGAATTTATGCATTTTCCTCCGGTTTGTAAATAATTAATATACATCTACATGCTTCGCCCAGATGGGCAATAATAAATAAATACAAATAAGATTATTCACCATTATGTTAATCATCATGATGCGGTGCAAGTCTAGCGCTAATGTATATGGTGCCACAATTTTCGGTGCGGACCCATGATACGGTACCAAGAACTCGGTCAGTTGTCACGCTTTTATGATTTTTTTAAGAAATTAAACAGCTTAAATTTGTTTGCAATATTTTTTGTATACAGTTCTTTGATGCTTACAGTTATATCAAATAATATTTTGATTGACAACATAATTTTCTCCTTTTAAAAGTTTTCCAAATGATCATGTTTCCCAAGCCAGCTCTAGCTGTTTTCATTAAACAAAGAAATCGTACAAGTCTTGTTATATTTTCGATCCTTGAAGATCGTTCAGCACGACATTATTGTTGTGCTTGTGGTTATTTTTAGTTTCAACTTTTCGGCATTTTCTAGTTGGGTGGTTCCAATATTCCTACTTGAATAATGTTGAATCACCCTTAGGATATGTTGCCTGCTTTTTAAAATTGTCTTTTGACGTCTTATCTGTGATATGCAGGCTTCATAACCTCTGATCCCCTTTCAAAATTCCATTTTATTTAGTTCCGCCCATTGTTTTCTCGTTTAGGGCACACGCCTTTTATTACTTGGGGACCATACGCCGCTTTTCATGGAATGGCACGGAAGTGTCACATTGAAGGTTCCATGATAACCGCCGTATGAACACATCTGCGGATGTTTCTAAATTCAAAATTTTACCATTTCATGTTTAAATGTTGAATTCTGCTTAAGCCGGTGCTAGGGGGCGTGGACGGTATAACTTGCATTTTCCAGTACCGTCCATGAACAGGCTCAATCAAACCGAGCCTGCAACATTTTCAATTTTGTCGTGTTGGGCTTTCTTTAGGGATTCTGTATTCATCTATTTGATAAAAACTAGGTAAAGACATAAGCTTCAATTATCATAATATTCCGTAGATACACTTTTATGAATACACTTATTTCAAAAGTGTGATTTTCAGGTCGTTTTCCATCATGCATGTTGTGTTTCAGTGTTTATTTTGTCTAAAATGATACGGTGCTGCACGCATGATGATAAATTATCGACGGTACGCGGAAAAATGATGCGTATACCCTTGACACTGTGGATATGACAACATTTAAAGTTATTTTGACATTTGCTTTTTACACCTGGATGGGCATAATGTCACTTTTATAAGTCGTAATGTTGAGCAGAATCTATCTGCGCTTATATAATAAATAGGTAATTCACTGCTGCCATTTTAACGTTATGATACCATCATTAATAAAAAAACTGAAAACACAAAATTAAATTAAAACATTTTTACCGAAGTTCATCAATAAATTAAACTTTTGAATAAATGCTAGATAAAGGGAAGTAACTTTTATTATTGTCATAAGACTTGTTTTTCAAAGTTTTCTTCTCTTTCTTACATCGTTATTACTTCAATATATCATTCTTGCAAATAAGATAACTTCTAGATATTATTGAACACATTGATTCAAAATGCCAATATTGAATTCAACTGGCATTAATTTCATGTAACAAACGCTTAGATACACAAGATCTACAAGATATATCCAAACAAAATGTTCACATTGACAAACATTCCTATTTCATATTTAAATATGTTCTATTATTAGTTTAGTCTTCTGTCTGCAGGTTTCACAATTGATACACATGATATTTTTATATATTTAATTTATCTGATGCTTATCTTTACATTTGTCTTCAAGGTTGAACGTTTTTCCTGACTTCCAATTTAGTTTTTTTTCTTATTTCAAATGTGAAAGTACCGTTGATTGCATGACTAATTCCAATCTAAAATACAAGTTTCTGTTAAGGTCTTAGGTTATTTGTATTTCTATTGTAAACAGCTTTCCTTAGGCAGAGGCTGGAGTAAAATATTTTAATTGAACTAGTTTACTAAACAAAATATTGAACCTACACTCATGAAATATCCTCATATTTTATTTCCGAAATATTCAAATTTGCATTCCTTCAATATTTATCTTCAATATTATAACACAGCAAAAACAAGAATCCTTGTACATACAAGTACACACGTTCATGTACAAACGCCAGCGCCTCGGGTGATTGTAGGTCTACTTAGTCTTTTAGCGTAATTCTATTTGTGAGTTTTACGATTGAAAAATTCTATTTTTATATGTTAAAATTATACTTTTTGCAGGCACATCACATTTTTTTTTTCAAAACTATTCCCTTAAGTATTATTATACAAATGTACTTTTGCAGAAGAGGTTTAATGTCTTCATGACACTTTTTAAGAAGTCCATTTCTTAACCATTCAAAAAGGCTTGTCATACCAGGCAGGGTTATCTACTGTTTATACCGGTGCTAGAAAAACAACGTAATTTACAGTTGTTAATTATGTAATTCATTGTGACAGAAACTAAAATTTTTACTCATATACACTGTTGCCAGATTGTTTAAAGACTTTAACACCATATTTTAAGTATATTAAAAAGATCTAATGTTGGTGAACGTACCGGCCTGTTAAGTATTGTTTTGGCAGGTTTAGTAAAGGATTTTGCTTTAGAATTCCTAAAATTAAAAGTTTTGGTCAACAGTCTTTTTCCTATAATGGTTGCTCCATGTGGAATAAACTACCGTGATCTGCAATAATAGTTTAAGATTTCTGTAAACAAGAGTGTAGAAAGTCTTTCCATGCTGTGATAC